CCCTCCCTCACTCCTCCCACACGTGCAGTCACGTGTGGACACTACCGCCTCACTCATCCTGTTCCGTTATCCGCACAACCGGGCACGACTGCCGCGGCTGCGTGAGTGCGCGGCGAAAGGGTGTGAGGAGTGAGGGCAGGAGTAACGCCCTGTGTGCGAGTCCCACGTTTCGTTTATTGTTGGTATTGCCAGTTGGCGATATGGTTTGCCTGCCGTCGCAATTTTTTGTATTGCGCACGGGCAGCGGCGCCCAGCAATAAGAGTGACACGAACAACGAATAAAGGCTCGAGGAGACATCTATTTTCTGCCGTCTGACAAGACAGCGAATGAAGCCGTCGGGGGCGGTGAGGGGGAGACACCTATGAACCAGAAGGGATAGAACGAAGGCTCATTGGAAAACGCAAAGAGGAAAAAAAATATAAATTAGACAGGAAACAAAAGGAGGAGGCTGAATGAGAGCCAACGACACGTCATGAAAATATTTATATGTAAACAAAATATGGACGACTTTCCATTCCCTTTCTATTGAAGAAGCCCAACAAGAAATGTGCATACATGTATGTATGTGTTTGTATGTGTGTACAGTTGGTGCTGCTGTTACTGTTGTTGTTACTGTTATTGTTGTTGTTGACGGTACTCCGTTCCGTTTGGTTTACTTCACCCGTTTTGGTTCCTGCTTGTCTGGTGCGTTTCATTACACCCACGCTTGGAGTTTTGTGGACTGGGATGCGGCTTGCGCAGGTACATTGTAACTGTATACACCGGTAGCAATGTGGAAGAAAGTTGACGGCCCAACTCCTTTTTGTTTTGTTTTTTTGTCCACGCGTTTGTTTTTATGCAACAGGAGTTTGACGGTTTTTTTGTTGTGTTTTGTTTTGTCTTTTTTGATGGTATTGTTTCTTTTTTTGTTTCTTTGTTTGTGTGCGTGCTTGACGCTTCATTACTTCTTAAGTGTTTGTGCCTCTGCGCCCTCGTCCTCTGTCGTTTTGTGCGGGATCGCTCTTGGTCGGCGCGGCGTGCGGCACAAAATGCGGAGGTGGAGGGCCGCGAGCGCAGAGGATTTTTTTTCTTTTGTTTTGTTTGTCAGGTATCGTCACTCGTCCCCACCGCCTTTGGCGCGTCTGCGTCTGCGTCTGCGTGTGTGTGTGTGTGTGTGTGNGTGTGCGGCGGAACACGCTGCGAGGCGCGCGCCCACATGCATTCGTGCGTGCGAAATAGTGTGGGGCGAAGTGTGGCGGTAGGGGACAACTCGATTTTCATTCGGTATCACTTGCTTCATCTTTACAAGACGACTTCGAAAAGACGGAGAGGGTCTGGGAGCGGGACCCAAGGCGGTGCCTTCTCACTGTGTTGTTCTCGTTTCCGCTCTTCACCCTGCCAGCGGCCCAGTGCGGTTACCTTTCTTTCTTTCTTTCTTTGTTTCGTGTATCTCCCACCTTTGTTTTGTGTTTGCCCTTATTACTGTTATTATTATTATTCATCCGTCTCCACGTTTTTCATTTGTTTTTGTCGTCGTCTTGCAATCTTTTTTTGTTGTTTTTTAGGGGTTTCTTGTTTTTTTTTTCTTTGTTGTTGTTGTTGTTGTTTCTTTTTTTTTTT